TGTATTTGGGTCGAAAAGATGACTGTAAGGAGGTAGGGGTGGTTCCTTCTTGTCTCCTTTAGACAATGAGTGAAGGAAGGGGGCCTACTACATGTCAAAGGTGTCTCCCCCATCCTCTCAATTGTTGTTCAGCCAATTTGGCACTCATCCAGCCCTCAAGGGTTGACAAATTCGTGGGGTGGCCCCCCATGTGGGAGGTCATCCCAATTTGTCCCAAAGTGTGCAATTTGCCCTGAAAGTTGTATTTTTCGGACTGTTTTAAGTATATTTTATTTTATCGGGTCAAATAAAATAAAACACTTGTTCCCAATTCTTAATGGACCTTAGAATCAATATGCATCCCTCAACTTTAATTTAGAAGTCTCCGAAATCCCTTTTCGGGCTGTTATCTGATAGATTGCCGATACTGATAATTTGGCCCCGTTTGACCAACCGGTCAACCCTATGCCATTGTCATGGCTCAAATAGGATATCCACCACCATATACATATTGTCTAGTCCAAGATCAATATAATATGTGGCCCCGATAATATCGGGCGGTCCCCACTCCCGATGTGGGCCCCACGTGCATTTTACTATTCACGCGAAAAAAATAATACAAATTCACAACTTCGTAAATTCACTAAATATTTTCATAGGATCCAATAAATTATTAGCTTAAAGATAAATACATTTGGGGACGGTGTTACAATATGTCCCCTCCTAGGAGTGAATCCTCTGAGGATGAGGAGCCGGTCCTGGAGAGGAGGATGAGGCGGGAGGGGGCGTCTTCAACAACAGAGGCTGCTACTGTAGGTGATGTAGATCCTGCAAAGGTTGAAGTAGATCCTGCAAAGGTAGAAGTAGATCCTGCAAAGGTTGAAGTAGATCCTGCAAAGGTTGATTTCTTCAACCATGTGCGATCTTCTGCTTCTCCTTCAGGTATTCATCTTTAGATTGACGTTTCGTGTTATAAATACGTTGTCTGGTTTGTGCCTTGCGCTCTTCCTGTTTCTTATTGCGTCAGCTGTGTTTTCGCGGGTGGATCCAACATCTTTGACCTCCTCGACCGGGCACAAGGTAGTGCAGGGAGGAAAACCCAGCCCTCCAGGGGTGTAAAGCATTCTGAGCCCCCAGCGACTCTTCCTCATCCTCCTCTGAGAGTTCCGAGGATGGCGATGATGATGATGGTGATGCTGCTAGTGATGAGGGCATCCAGCAGGGCAATGCCGCGGCACAAAGGGATACTGTCGCGGCTGCCACTAATGCCGCAACCAATGCAGAAAATACTCTGGGGCCCAGTGGTGCTGCCTCGATGCCTGGGTCCGTGAGTGGGCGGAAGAAACACTCAGTGGCCAAAGGCAGTGGTCCACCACACGAGTCTGCGAGTGGGCAGAAGAGGCGGAGATTCCACCTATCTTTCAGTGATGATCAGGGCTTTGTCTCTGAGAACATTGATGCAATGGACCTGTTGGCAAAGCTCTATTTGCCTTCCGATGTAGGGGTCATGGAGGAGATGGACTCCCAGTGTGTCGCCAATGAGCTTACTTCCAGCGCACTTAAGGTGAGTGTCTTTGCATTTCTCGCCTTTACTTCCTGCTGTCTTTTTTTATCTAACCCTGTTTTCCTTTTGTTATAGGCCGCCACTATGGGTTATGAAATGGCCCTCGGGGTTGAGGCAGCTGAGCTCTGGGCAAAACGAGCTGCAATGAAGGAGGCGGGCACTGTTCACAGCCGACGCCTTGCTGAGAAAGCTCTGGAGGCCTCGCAGAGGCAGGTTGGTGAACTTCAGGCCCGGTTTGTCAGTCTTAAAGAATCTGCAGACGAGGTTGTTCTAGACGTGAGTGAGGCGGAGGCCAATGCCCTGCGCTCTGAAGAGAAGGCTCGGGTTGCTGAGGATAAGGCTGCCACGGCCGCTGAGAAGGCCCGGATCAGCATGGCAGAGTGGCAGAAGGTGACCAAGCTCTCCATCTAGGCAATGAAGGAGAGGGATTACCTCCGCAAATGCTTGGATAAAGTTGAGGGTGAGCTATCTACCTTCAAGACTTAGTATTCCTCCATGGAGTACAAGCTTGTTGTGGTTGCCCGTGAGCGTAAGGAGTGGGAGACTGAGCATGACAAGGTCGCTGCCGAGCTGAAGGAGGCCCACTCCCAGATTGGAAAGTAGGGTCAGGCGCTAGAGAATCTCGAACAGCTTGCTGAAGAGGCATATGGTGCTAAGGCCTGGATTTCTGATTTGGAGAAGTTCTCGCCTGCTGTGCTAGGGGCATAACATTCACAGGTGCTCCGGAAGCCACCTGGTGTATCGGGGGAGAGTTGGTCCCCTGAGTTGCCCTTTGGCGTGGGGGATATTGGTAGACCATCTGAGCTGGTCTCTCCACCACCAAAGGGGCGTCAATGGTGCCCACTCTCAGAGACCGGGACCTGGAGGTGTGCCGGTGAGATGGACCTGGTGGCGTGAGGAGCCACAGTTGCCGCCTCGGACCACAACGTAGGGAGCACTTGCTGCAGTCCATAGGTGAGGGCGCCAACCGCCGCTGAGGGATCCGCCATCAGAAGATTCTGGAATTGTGGGATCACCTGAGCGGACGGCATTGCCGCTACATCACGGTTCTGGGAGATCTGTTGACAGAGATTTGGCGAAGTGCCTTGGATCTGGCTGTGCAGATCAGCAGATGCCTGAGCGGCTTGCTTCCCCTTGGCCGCCCTCCTGGTGCCGGAGGTAGCGGTAGCCTCCAGTGATGGTTCAGCCTGGGCGACAGCGACAACGGCACGTCTGTTTCTCATGGTTCTCTTTCCTCCAGCCATTGTTAGTGGAGAGGATTGCTGTAGAGTTTAGGAAAATGGGAGGATCTGACCTGATTCACCGTTCAGCTCTCAATGAAAGCACCAGAATGATGGACCACCGAGTTGTGGGTATCCGGAATCTGAGTAAAGTAAGAGAGAAGAACTGATCGGAAAGTCCAGGTAAATATTTTAGTATAGTAACAACAAGAGAATACAGAAATCGATCCCTTTTCACAAGTTGGAAGGTGATATTTATACTAATAAGGCAATACTTGGTGCCCAAGTAAAAAAGATGTTGATCTAATGGAGAGAGGACACATGTCCAATCTGTTCTGACAAACTAACAGTCTAGATCAATGGGGCGCAGCGACGTGTAAAGGTGATTGGAGAGATAACTAGGATAGCTGGCTGATTAGAACTGCTCGTAACAAATTGCTACCCGAATGTTCGTGTGACTACACGTGTATGTTTGGGACATTCTTCCTGCCCACTGCCAGAGGTGACGTGGTCTCCTTCAGGAGTAATGATGATGTGGCAGTACTCTTGTGTGGTGTGTGTTTCTGTGTATTTGTCTAAGTCCATAATGTTGTAGTCAGACCTCGAGCTCAATGAGGTCAGTTCTTGGAGACTCGGGCCCAGCGTTAGAAAATGTGTTCATTGTCTCCGGTTCTGTCTTTGAGACAGTTGACTCCTTTGTTTGACTTTTGTTGACCTCGTGTCGATGATAAGGGTCAGAATTGGTGCCGAGCTCGGTCCACTCGAGGTCGGGCTCATAACTTGTCGTGTTTGAGCGGTTCCTGAGCTTGGTATTTTCCAAACCTCGGGGGTCGAGGTCGGGGTCGGCTGGCCTTTGGACCTTAGTCGTTTTGTTGCCTGGTGCTTTGTCCTGGCCTTGGTGGGTTAGGGTTGGGGTCAGTCCGAGTCGTGGACTTAGTACTTTTAAGCATCCTGGGATGAATTCGTGAAGTAAATAACCGGCGATTATGATACCCTTGGGGTATATGGGAATATACTCCATCAATTTACATTTTGTTTTTTAAAGAAAAATGCTTATATTAAACTCATAGAAAACTAACAACCATTCATCATGTTTACCATCTACCCAAAGTTTTCCTCTAGACATCATATAGCCAGGGACAGGCCCAAGAAATTCATCTTTGAAGGCCGATACTTGGTGGCGCATCCAGAATTTTTTTAGTGGTGACCAACATAAACTAGAACTTAGTAATATACTCCCTCCGTCCCTAATAACTTTGCCATGTTTGACCGGCACGGGAAATAATAAAGTAAAAACTGTGTGGTTGAGGTTTGTGCAGAGGAGAGAGAATGAACTGGAACCACAAATTCTTTACTTAAAAGGGAAAGTGGCAAAGTTAATGGGACATCCAAAAAAGGAAAGTTGGCAAAGTTATAAGGGACGGAGGGAGTATTTCACAAATAGCAAATCATATTATTAATATTGTTTCATTAGACTTAGTTTATGTTATAAATGTACAAATATTTATAAAAAGAAGATCAATTTATATCATGTGTGTGCAAAGATGCAATTGTAGATAAAATTTGAGAAAATTACCTCAATAGAAGATGAACATAACAAAATTCAGTGACTAAAATGAAAAATGTTTACAAAAATGTGACTAATGACTAAAGTAGTAATGAAATCATGGTAAATAATTTTTTGTGCTTGAGTTACCATGACACTACATTGTAGTAACTATTAGTCATATTTTTGTAAATACGTTTTATTTTGGTAATATTTTTGAAAAAAACTGAACTTTTTATCCTTTTATTCTTTTAATAGGATTGAATAAATCTTATGTTAAGGGAAGAACTCATTTTTAATTCTATTTTATAATTTGTCATATGTTAAACCCATATTTTGAGCAATTTTCTATAAACCTTTTGGTTATACCTTAAAACAAAATAATTGTAAAAGTTCATTATTATATTTTTTTGTATATTTTTCTGAAGTATATAAAATGAACCATTAAAATTGTACATGGTAGACAAAAAAACTAGAAGAAGAGACAAATATATTATTACAAAAGAGTAAAGTTAATACCTTAAAATTGTATTCGGTATTCCTCCAAAGAGATAAATTACTCAATCACAGCTTTTGAGTCAAAAGCTTATGAGAATTCCCTCATTTTATTTTCATACAGAGTATAAATTATTAGAGTACATGTTGAAAACTTTTGCCCATCGTTGTATGACAAAGGCGATAAAGAGACAGTGAGACCTTTTGGTCCATGGCTTCGAGCGGGGGAGGGAGGCCCCGTACAACAATAGGCAGTAAATGGCTTGTAGGTGAGAAAGGGATAGGAAGAGACCAAATGGTGAGGCAAATCAATATAATGGATAATCAGGAACAAAGACTGCTCCGCATGGAAAACCAGAATCAGGACGAGAGGGACGACCCAAAGACCGTGGAAGCAGTGACTAACAATTGTAGCACGGGAGAGCAGAAGAGGAGGCGGACATGGGAAGCTAAGGAACCAGAGCGGAAACAACCAGGAGATGACACTATGATGCTGGAAGGATAAAAAATCAGGGATGAGGCGGGCTGGAGCCCCCAGACCCGCCACAATCAGTGAAGTTCTGGTGCACTTGGAGAATAAAAGTTTCTTTTACTTTTAGACTTATTTTTATATTTGCTGAGTTTTATTATGGACATCGTGTGTTTTTGTTTGTTGTTACGTTTAGTTTTGTCAAGACTCTAGAAAATAGGACATGTGATGGGGAACTTAGTTTACTAGTCATTGGCTCCAGTAAGCCCAATTCAGGATCAGCGAATCTGGTATCTTCTTTCGAGATGGTAGATTCTAAGTCTGGTTCAAGGCGGACGGTAGACAATGAGTTCTTTGTCAGTTTGTATCCTGCTTACGTTCTTTCTTATTAATATAAGCCACCTGCTTCCAAAAAAAGTATTAGAGTACATGTCACTTTCAATTTCTATTTTTAGGAATTAGACGAGCCCTCAAAATTTCAGATTTTTCTTTAAAAGAATACACAATCATTCATAGTAAATACTTTGTAGATTCATATAGACTATGTGTCACTTTTAAACTTTTAATTTATATTTTTTGATTTCTTGCATTTTTATCCTTAATAAGTATTTAATTAAATTTGGTAAAGCTAATATTACAATTACTTATATTTGGGGGGCCAATTTTATTTCTCTCATATATATATATATATATATTGATTTTTTTTGGGGGGTGTGTTGCCCCCCCGGGTCTATACTAAGGTTCGCCCCTGCATATAGTCAATATGTCATCTCACTCTCTCATCAGACGTAGAATCAACTGTCCAATACTAAACAAGACTAATCGCTGAACATGCGAAAAATTCGAAGCTATCATTGGTTAGATTAGTCTGATTGCTTGTGTTGATAAATTAGTCCCAAATAAGGATCTAATCTCACAAAACATGAAATTTGTAGAATTAAACACATATACGAAAATTAAGTGGTAGAGGAGAAACCAAACTTTGATTGTGTTGCAGAAGATGATGAAGCCATTATTGATTGTTGGGGAAATGTCTTCTTCGTCAATGAGTTGTCCACAATCTAGCAGGACACTTTCATTATACTCAATTCAATTCGTTATTGGCGGACATGCGACCCTCCAAGGCCGGCCCAGGGCAAGGGTACCCAGCCGAACCGCACAGGGCCCAAAATTCGGAGGGCCCAAAAAATTAAAAAAAAGTACTAGTACTCCAGCCCAAATCCTACCGTCCTAATCTCGCCCAATTTGAAAGAATATGTATATTTGGTGGCATTTTTGTAATTAATGTGAAAATCGTGGTTTCAGCTAAATGAGCATTAGTGTGCTGTTAATGAGCAATAGTCCAATTTTAATGAGCACCGTGTTATTACAAGAAAACTGATATCACAACTAAAAAACGGTGGCATTTTCATAATTTCAGTGAAAATCGCGATTGTCGTTAGATAATCATTAATACACTTTTAATGAGCATCAGATGTATTCTACTAAGCATTAAGAGTCGAATAATGAGTATTGTGATATCAACTTCATATATTGTAATTCACTTTCTTTTTATTATTTTTTCGTTTATAAAAACTCATTAAATTATATGTATAATCATTTCCTATGAATTTCAATCAATATGAAAATCTAATGTAATATGGTACTTTTGAAATATGCATTGATATGACATTTTAAAAATGAGTATAACATGACTACCAATTGAGTATACTAACTTATAAAATGAGCGTTTGTATGAAAATTATAAGTTTTTCTAGTTGAGTGAGCATCAAGACCTTTTTATTAAGAATCAAACATCTTGTTTTGAGTATTATAAACATGCAATTGAGTATCATGATCTATGCTCCTGTATCTATAATCAACTGCTACGTGAATGTAATGTCATATAATACTTTTCAAATATGCATTGACATAACATTTTAAAATGAGCATAACACCATTACAAAATGAGCATACATTAGTTTCCAAATGAGCAATGATATAAAACTCATAATCTTTGTTAATTAGTTGAACATAAAAACATGTTCGCTGAACATCAAACCTCCTCTATTGAGTATCAAAAGCATGCAATTGAGTATCATGATCTTGTTCACATTAATATGACATTTTAAAAAGAGCATAAAATCAGTATCAGACGAGCAATGCATATTGAGCATATATAAAATCAGTATCAAATGAGCAATGCATAATGTCAAATGCATATATGACATTAATATAACACCGGTACAAAATGAGCATACATTACTAACCAAATGAGCAATGATATAAAAACAATAAGTCTTGTTAGTTGAGCATAAAAAAATTTTCATTGAACATCAAAACTTCTTTTATTGAGTATCACAACTCACAAGTATGCAATTGAGTATCATGATCTCTACTCCAATGTCTATAATTTAACTCTTATGCGAATCTAAAATGATACTTATGATATCTGCATTAATATGACATTTTAAAATGAGCATAAAACCAGTATCACATGAACATATGTAACTTACATAACTTACAAAATGAGTATCCAAGACACTCTTTGAAACCTAAGCACTTAAACGGGAAACCCGGTGCTCTGGAACGACGAAGCCACGAAGGACGGAAGGAGGATGAGCGTCGAACGACGACCGATGCCACCCAGCGCAAGTCCGCCACTGGCCCAACGTGCCCTGCCTCGAAGAGTCGAGTTAGTCAACGACCACAACTGCGCACTGCACAATAATGGTAAGCAACTCAGGCTCAACACATATATGATTTTCAGATTTTCTGATTTGTTTAATTTCGAATTACTTTGATTTGGTGAATTGTTGAATTGTTTGTTGAAGTGTTAAATTGTTGAATTGTTTTTTTGTTTATTTACAGTTTTTTTATTTCATGTTATTTATCGGATAAATAATTTCTTATTTCATCTTCAATCAATTTTGCAGATATCTGCTTCAAACATGAATTGAACCGCAAACCAATTTGATACACAATAATTAAATCTTGATTTAATGGGCGAAATTGATTTCCACCTGCACTTTTTTTAACCATTTGAAAATTTTGGTTATTATTATTTGTTAAATATTGGTTCATGGATGTTTATTGCACGATTTGATCATTGTTCTTCAAAAATCATGGCTTGAAATATTGTCTAATTGTTCATTGAAGTTATTGATCACTAATTGGTTTCAGGTTCATCAGAACACACATCAAATTCTTCAAGAAATTGCATTCTAATCCATTTGACTGCATCGAGCTGTGAAGAGTTGATTTTCATGCAGTGGTGGCATTGGCAAATCTACAGTTAGGTGGAAGATTTTTCCTTCCACATAAATTTACAGAATATATGCTAGTGTAAAATTTACTCCCTGTGTAAATATTTGTCTCTCTGTGTGTATACTCCGTTACTCACACATGCTCAAAGTATTTTAACACAATTTACTTGTGTTGGGACTTGGAAAAAAGGCCCAAATTTTGTTGTTGCACGGGGTCTCTATTTTCTCAGGCCATGCGACCCCCGACAAACGTCGTCCTCTAACCTCCTCCTATGGTAGACCCTTTTCTACTGTCTCCGGATCACACCCTCGTGCAGTGAGTTCATAAAATACATGCAAAGAAAAATAACACTAGAACTAATGGCTCGAGACGCGTAATCGATGTCCTCAAAAAGTATTTCCGGCGGACAGAATATTTCCCCAGGATATTGTTGGGGGTGTTTCGGAAAATAAAGGAAATTAATTTAAATTAATTAATTAAATAAAATGACTAGAGAAAAACAAGAAAGGAGATGAAGCAGAATTAGTCAAAGCTCGTGCTACGCACGATGTCCTTAAAACGTATTTGTTGCCTCCCACGGTGCTAGGAGTGTTGCAACAATCGTTTCCCAGGATACGATGAGTACGAACTAATGTTTCAGGACACAAACAAGAGTTCCAGCGAATGAGAACCAAGTATGAACACAGAAGGAATTTGCAGAGTAGCTGTAGGTGTTTTTAGCTTAAGAAATTCGTGAGGAATGTATTGTGTGTTGTCTTGTTGCAAACCACCTGCCAGCTATTTATAGGATGAATTGTTGTGTGTTAAATGTAGTGTTAATGAACCTGAACGTTGGACATCAATGACCAGTCCGTTGGGCATTGAATCGTCCATAAACTGTCCATTTAACGCAGCATTAAAAGATAAGAACGTTGGGCATTAACTTTCGTAATGGTAGAATTGCGCGACAGAAGACCCCCAGCAGAACACCCCTTCGAGGGGTTCTGCCCGAAGCCAACAGAACACCCCTTCGAGGGTTCTGTCTGGCCAACAGAACACCCCTTCGAGGGGTTCTGTCCGAAGCCAATAGAACACCCCTTTGAGGGGTTCTGCCTGACGCCACCAGAACACCATACCGAGGTGTTCTGGTCGAGGCCTTCTGTACGGAGCACTTCTGGGAAAAAATAAACGTTTCGGGAAGAAAACAATAATTAACCGTATCTCTTAAGAGATAGATTTTTGGACGGCATTCGTGTCCGCAGGTCGCCCTCGCACACGAGTCGCGGTTTTTCTTCTCCGATTTCGGGATTTGATTTGCATCCCCCCTGCACGCGTGGAGAGAGCCTTTACCCTAAGGAATCTTAACTCCTTAAGGGGGGAGTCCCTTTATAAAGGGTTGCAAATCCCTTGGGTTTTCCGGTGTGGGAAATAACACACTAGAAACCCATACTTTTTGCCAGTTTTTCCATTCTAACGGGTAAACTTCGAGAGTCAATATCTCATTCACCCGTTATCCGTTTTGAGCGTACCATATATCGAATTGTAGCCCTAAGCAAGGACAATCCGAAACCACTTTGACCCGACCCAAATCGGAAGTGGACCCCACTCAAAAAAATTGCCCCAAATTACCATTTAATGCAATTTTCAACACATTTTTCCAACAGATATAACGAGCCCTTCGGTGAGTCACCAGACACAGAGCTACGAGGATGAAAAGAGTAGTATGTAACCCAACAGGCTTAAACTAGAAAATGTTTTGGGAGTGTATGTATGCTTCGTATGTCCTTCTCCTAGAATTGCCAAAAAGCATATTTTAAATAGAGTAAAAATAATATTGTTGATGATCCTATTTTTTTTTATAAAAGGTAAGTATATATATCATCCAACAGAGTTTATGTACATTAAAAACTAGGGAACAAAATAAATGGGGCTATCCCAAGCAAGGATAACTCATCACCTAAAAAACTGTACACAATAAACACATATTGCCGAACACAAAAATAGGTGATGGACCTAAAACTAATGCACCAACGCATCAAAAGGTAATGAGCTCATATGGGTAAATATTGTAGAGGATTTTATACACCATGTATTTGATCCTAGCAAAAACATCCTCCTCTTTGAATGTGGCGCCATCAAATTTGGTTGCATTTCTAACTCTCCATATCCTATAAACCATATAGATGAA